CTGATAGGAATTATTAGAAAGAAGGGAATAGAGAAAAAATATCAGGGCGCGAGTGGCTAAGCCGGGAATTGAACCCGGGTCTTCCGCTTGCCGGGCGAATGTTCTACCACTAAACTACTCAGACCCCACGCTTCTAACATTTATTTCTCTTAGATTAGGAATTCAACAAATCTGTAGGACATAAACGCGTCATAATGCCCGCGTGATTTAAAACAATCTAACACATATAAAGGAATGGCTCTAAAGATAACAATCAATTAATATAATAGAAAGGCATAGAGAGCCTTTCTATAATATATTGTATTGTATATAACTATACTGATAAGCAGATAAATAGCTAGCAGTAATATAGCATTTACCACTGTGCATATCTCATTATGACTAATGTATGAAAAAACGCTATAAAGCGATTTATAATAACTACTGAATAAAAAAAGGTCAGAGTACGGAAATGAAGACACACCTTTTACAAAAAAATAAACACGCACGATGTAACCGGATAATTAAGTCAGACAACTGATTTGAACAAATGTACAACTTGTTTTGTCGCAATACTTTAACAATTTTTTGTCTTTCTTTATTTTGTCAAAGAATTGTTATGGTGAAAGCAATTTAAAGGCTATAAAAAAAGAAAAAAACTCTATAATAGTGAATTTCCGAAGATTTTTAAATTGCTTTTTCATAAAGAGAAAAGAAATTAAAATAAAACCACTTAAAAATTAATCACACGTTTGCATAGACATTTCTTTCACTTGTGACTGGTTTTATATCAGTAGAAAATATAAAATTTATATCTGCATTTGATTTTACAACAGCTTATCATTTGAGCAGTCAATGTTTCAAAACAAAATAAATAAGTGAAATGTGGAATGAGATTGCTCGTGATTTTCCGTATTGTTGCATATAGGTTTCATGTTGTATAAATACTTGAGAAACTCAAGTTGAGTGAAAAACTGCTTATGAGAAACTACGTAAAATGATCCGATGTTCTTTTAATTTTAGCTATAGAATCTACGACGGATTTAAAAGGAAACAGTCTATATATCAACAACAATAATGTTACAGTTGGATGCCCGCACGGAAGAAGTGGTCACATATGCGGAGCTGCAAGATAAAATTGTGAGACGCGCGTTATGGCTACAAGAACATGGAATTAAGGCGGGCGATGTTGTGACTGTGTGCACGAACAATCACCTGAATTCTATCGTGCCATGTTTGGCGGCGAGTTATGTCAACGCGATCTTTAATACGTGGAATGAGCATATGGACTTGCGTAAGTCTGATAATACTTATGAAGTCATACATTTAATCGTGTCATGATGACATGACGATTTTAGTACTTGATTAGACGGAACATATAGTAAAAAAAAAACATTTATAAAGTATTTAATTTATAACTATGTAAGTAGCTCCAATAATAATAAGCTAAAAGTGTGTTTTTATTTAATTTGTATTTTTTATTCTTTTTTTATTATTTAACCATAATAATAATACTTAATCTACTCAAAATTCTGCATTGTTTGTCATTAGAAACTGCGCTACACTTTCTGCAGCTGTCTGACCCAAAGGTGATCTTCTGCAGCGAGCTATCCTTGGACATTATCCAGAGTGCGATAAAGAAGACGAATTACGATCCCATAATAGTGGTATTTGGCAATCATCCCGACGCAATTCCGTTCGCTAACATTTTGAACAGCTACAGCAATACGGAAGTGGCAAATTTTCGATTGGCCGAGCTCGACGACATAAAGAGAACGGCGTGCATCTTGCACTCATCAGGCACCACAGGGATGCCAAAGGGCGTTGAACTGTCCAATTACACTCTGATAATGATCGGTGCAGACCAGAACTTAAATATAGTTACCGCGGTGACACTTTGGTTTTCGTCTCTTTATTGGATTAGTGGAGTGCTGTTGAACGTAAAATCAATCACGCAGAGCGCAAAAGTAATCATTTATCCAGAATTTGATGAGGAAATGACATGCAAATTGATTGAAAAATACGAGGTGAGAATCGTGAGGTGGCAATAGAGATACAGTCCTCAAAAAATCATCAAAACTATAAATTACTACTTTATTTACAAAAGCCTTATATTTATAGAAGTAATAAAAATAAAATCTTAAATTCTTATTTAGTTAAAAAGAAATGTTAGCTGACATATATTAAAACATCTTTCTTGCTGCAGATTTTTTGTAAATAATAATAATAATAATAACTTATTTTTCTTTGCAAATTCTGTGAAAAAATTGCGTCAACAAATTGAAACACACTTAATATTATGATTGAAGTTCATTTATTATTTAATCATCATTGCCATTAGTATTATGAACAAAAAAAATATCTAGTTTGTAATTAGTTATATGTTGAGATAATAATCTATAAAAATATAATTTATATCATAATTTACAATGTCGTACAAAAAATTTTATAGAACAAGCTGTATGTTAAATGTGTTAAGAATTATATAAACTATTATATTTTACAATTATACAACGGAACGTAACATTATGATGCAACTTTAATCTTATCTTTAGATTGTAATGCTTTTTCTAAGCACGAGTATGATCAATCGATTTCTCAGAGCGGGTTATGTAAAGAAGTATTCATTACCGTCGTTGAGAATCATATTTGGCGGTGGTGCAATTCTCAAGCCGAAATCTCAAGAAGAATTGAGACGTCTTTTACCGCACGTTGAAATACTTCAAGCTTACGGTAAAAATCGTAGCAGAATAAAGTTAGGAACATGATATTTTTTCATTCAAAAAATCTAAAACAAAAGAATTTATTGTAACAAATTCTGTATTATTCATTCATTTTTTTAGGTTTGACGGAAGTCGGCGGAATGGCAGTGATGCAAAACCCGAATCATAAGAACGGGTCTTGCGGCACGGTAGCTTCAAATGTACAAGTAAAGATCGTGGACCCGAAAAGCGGAAAAGTTGTCGGACCGAATCAATCGGGAGAAATATGGATACGCTCGAAGAACATAATGAATGGTTATTACAAGAATCCTGAAGCGACAAACAGTACAGTTGATAAAGACGGTAAGAAGATTCTTCTTCTCGCTATTAATATTATTAAAACAATAGATTATTTACATATTAATCAAAATAATTAAATTCAATTTTATTTTGTTAAATATTAGATTACTAGAATAGTAATAATATTATTAAAATAAATTGGAATTTTTTTTCTAGGATGGCTACATTCAGGTGATATCGGTTATTTCGACAGCGATGGAGAACTTTTCATTTTCGACAGAATAAAGGAGCTTATGAAATATAGGGGACATCAAATATCACCTGGAGAAATTGAGGCTGTATTACAGTTACATCCAGGAGTGTTGGAAGTTGCAGTAGTAGCGGTACCTCATGCAACAGACGACGACCATCCTCTTGCTTATGTTAGCAAAAAGCCCGGCTTCAAGGTAATCTCGTTGTAAACATAAAGAATAATTAGAGCGAGAGTTTATTTATTGTACACGATAAAATTAAGAATTAATATTTATCTGAAATATTTTATTTAAAAAATTGTTTTTGTAGGTGACGGAAAAAGAATTGATAGATCTCGTTGCAAGTAAAATGAGTGATCAATACAAATTGCGTGCCGGAGTGATATTTCTGGATACTTTTCCGTACACAGGTTCTGGGAAAATCGCAAGGAAGGATTTAAGAGCAATGGCTAAAAAACTAGAAAAAGTAGAATAAAATGATATTAATTATAATTTCTTCACAATGGTGCAGGATTTATAAGTACAATATATACATAAGAAGGCATAGAGTAGATGAAAAGAAGCTAAATTCTAAATAATATAATAATATAATAATTCTAATAATATTCATATTTAATTTATATTTATTTTTATGCAAATTGACATTAATTATATATTATTTTTTTTATAATTTAAAAATTTTTTAAATAGCAAGTCTTGAATAATTTTATAAAATAATTTTAAAAAATACTTAATATTATAATTTCTGACTAATTTTTAATTTTTAATTTACAAAATTAAACAATTTTTTTGTATTTAAATCTAGTCCTTAACAATAGACAGAAGCCAGGTTATGTCTTTGTTAATGTTTAATTAATAAAATTAAAAAACTAATTAAATCAATAAAAAATTGTACATTTTAAAAATATTATTTTAGATTCATAAAATAAATTTGTAAATCTTTGTCATATAATAATAACAACAAAATTGCGTAACTATTTATTTACAGAGTATTACATATAAATAAAAATTATTAAAAAATATTTGATTATGAATATTTTACTTAAAATTATTGTATGAGAAAAATATTAATTGGCACCCAGTGAGAAATAACAAGTCGAAAATACATATATTAGCTGCGTATAGACGTTTATTAAATGTCTATGAAACGTTTCTTCGACCTATATTTTTTACCGGGTATGTAAATAAGTGCACAGAAAAGTATATGTGTATATTAACAATCATAGAAGTTTTGAAATATTATTAAATGTTAAAATATTGCAACTTATTGTAATTAATTAACGACAAAATCAAATGTAATAAATTAGTCACAAGTCTTAAATTTCTTTAGGATATCCCCGTGCTTTTGCCTCTTTAAACATAGCTACAAGGGAATCCAAAGTCTCCTCTCCAGATGGGATAATTTGATTAGGAGGCAACAAGAAACCATAACGACCACGATCACGCAACTCATATGTGTACACAATAGGCTTACGATAAACACCCCTAATATAATCCGAACTAACTCCAGTACACACATCTAGAAAAAATTTTACAAAAATAATATATTTAATTGGAAACTTTTATCTAATAAAATATAACATTGTATAAATTAGTTTCTGCGGTCGCAGAAAAAATTTTTAATTTAAAAAATAAAAATTAAAAAAAATTTTTTAAGTTTAAATACAACTAATATAAAATTAACTAAGTTTATTTTTATTAATTAATATTAATTAAAATTAATTTTTCAAACTTACAGATCGTCTCAGCAACATTTCCGACTTGATACTCAGTTCCATATCTTTGCTTCAGAGCTGCAGCTGCTTTCAAGCCGATAGCATTCTGAAATTAAAAATTACATAAATTCTTATAATATTGTTAATCACACTGATAATACAAATAATAAAATGTTTTAATCTAATAAAATAATTTTAGAATGTATTTAATACAATGAATAAAGCTACAACAACGTACAATTACTTTTGATTCGAATTGCTGGAAGAATAGAATTAATACGTGATTAAATTGTTGTAACTTATAATCCACAAATTATAAAAATATCATATAATAAGCTACATCAATTTATTAATTGACAATTTCTTTATCGCGTTATTAAAGTTAAAGATGATAATAAAAGACGATAATAAAAATATTGTTAATTGTTACATTTTTAGAAATATTTTTTTTTAAAGCTGTCTACAAAATACATTGCTTTTCTACAGTGAATTATAAAATTTCTTACCAAATCGTCGTAATTGTCGAGATGATCCCTTGTGTAGCCATAAGGGAACATTAACAGCTGCGAAAAACTGTGAAATGAAATGTATGCGTAAAATTTGTCGGAAATAGACGCGATATATTCAGACATGCTCTTCGTCTCTACATCTGAGAATGGCTCGCTTCCGGCGTAAGTTGGTGAACACGGGATACCAGTTATACCTTTACCTAAAAATATTAAATTGTAACAATATTAACAAATTTTAGTTATACACCTTAGTTATAACGTTTTCAAAATTTATACAATAATCTCAAAGTTATAAAATTACTGTCAACTATTACAGTGCTCTTTTCTTTCATAGTGTAATTATAGTTTGTCATTTGTACATAAAATGCAATTACTTACGGACCCATTTGTAGCTCCAATTCCTATTTGGATCGGCTCCAATGCAAAAGAGACTGTACGGTTTACGTGTTTTCCTCCATAATCGGTTCTAAAAATAATTGAAAGAAAAATTCGATTCGTATGTAATTGCAACGTATGAATTAACAAATGCAATATAATAAAATAAAATGTAATTAAAATTTACCGTAGTATGAGTGTACGAGTATCCATCAGGATTGAACGAGGGAAAGATGTACCAATCATGGCTCTCAGCTAAAGCTCTGACGTCCGGGTCCTTACTGGTTAGCAACTGGTGCAGGATATACATTACAGTCGCCGGAGAGATCCATTCCCTGGCGTGAATACCACCCTCAATGAAAATTCCTGGATTGTTAGCTTTGAACGAGATTTTGACGCCTTTGATTATACGTCCTTCGTACGATTTGCCTCCCACAATAGTTTGCACTTTATCGGGATATTGCCTGGCCAGATCGTCTAGATTCTTGTAGATTTCCTCAAGAGTGTGATAGCTGGTGAAATCGAACGTCGTCGATTGATTTGCAGGCATTGTTTGATCGATTAACGCCTGGACGTTCTCAATATGAACGTAATAAGGTATCTTGATCCGGGCCATTATTTCGTAGAATTCGGGCAACTTGTGCGGAGCCACCATGAGATCTACGCTTTTCCCCACAAAAGTCGGATCTCCCCAAAATGAAAACTGCAAATAATGTAATTCAATGTTATACAAAATGTTTGTGCAATAATAAAAATTTGTATTTTATAATTTTCAGTTTTACTTGATTGTCTACTTACTCCATCAAGGATATTTTCAAACTCGTGCAGCGTTTCGATCTGCGCTTCTGTAGTTGGTATAATCTTGAAGACTTTATAATTTACATATGTAGCTTTCTGGGCAGCTGCCAGACTTACAATCATACACACTACTGTTATCTTCCACATGATGAATCTGTAGAAATATATTTTAGTGCCTGTAATTATTAATTATTGATATATAATTATTTCATAAATGTTTTCAATTATATTACAATAAACAACTTTTCTAAAATAGCTTAAATCTACTCTTTAATCAAAAAACGTTATAGATAAATTAAAGGTACATAATATTTTTACATAATTTAATTAAAAAATTATTGTTTTCGAAAATATAAACTTACCTTTCACGAGGCAAAAATATTAATGATTTATCAGTACTGTTTTATTCATTATATTTAAGCTTTAATGCGCACGACACCAACAATTGTCATATATCTTGAACATTATTTTAAAAAGTCATATTGATTGATCAAACAAAAAGAACGATCACATCGAACTTACTTATCAAAATCATCAAAAGACTCGTATATTCTATCAATATAATTTAATAAATAAGTAAAGGAAAATATAATTGTCAAAACTACTTTTATTTTTATAACTACATAAAATAATTTTTTACTATTACATATACATACATTTAACTATTTTGGTTCAACGAATTATTCTGTATTCTTACGCAGTCGCTATAAGTATATATTTGTATTCTCAAACTGATACATTATCAATTTTAATCTTATCATCTTATCATAAGTAATGTGATAATTGATTATTACGTATGTTGACAGCACTGATTTTTAATCACAGCACAAAATTTCCAAATTGATATCAATAAACAAGTAATTAATATAATTATAAAAATAAACTAAATTATTTCTAACAAGAATGCTTATATATGTAATATATATATA